TAATTTTCCCTTTGGGGCCCCGCCCTGGCCCCAGGGGTTGGGGTAGGAATCCCAATTTTACAATTTTGAAGCCTCATCTACCAAGGATGATTCTGACCAAGTTTGAAAAAAATCCATCCACTGGTTCTTGAGAAGAAGTTGAAAATGTAAAAGTTTACGCACGACGCACGACGCACGACGCACGACGCACGATGGATGACGGACGACGGACGATGGACGACGACGGACGAAAAGCGATTGGAATAGGTCACCTGAGCAAAGCTCAGGTGACCTAAAAAGTAATGATATTTACAAGCCATTTAAGTGCATTTGAGTCCAAAATTATGCATAATAAAGACAGTAGGTCCGGTATATGAATCAATTTAGTACCAGTGACTACCGCTAGAGGCCGTCTGTGTGAAATCGACATTTATGAATATCTGCATATGAGCTCATTAACTAAAGTAATACCAATAGCTGGCGGCTAACGCAAAAGCTAAAAAAAGACTTGCGTATATTTCAGTATTAACAGTAGAAACCTGGGTCAGAATAATTTTATATTTAGTAGCTAGCCCACATAAAGGCAGATTTTACAAAATTATTCTAGCCTCCATTTGTTATATAAGCTTATAATATACAGTATTAAAGCAATTGAATATTAAACATTTTCACTGGTGGAGTACTCGGGATCAGTAGTTAGTAGTCAGTACATACGCCACCGAGATGTTTTAATCCAACTCATAAGCTCTTATATTTAAGTTACACTTAATATCATCGACGAAATTAATATTGAAGTTTGTTTTTAATACTCAACGGGAAGTTTGAAATAATGCTTTATAATAATTAAAGTATAAATAATAGCAGTTCAACCCACTTGATGTACATATGGTTCTTTAATTTCTTAATGGCGAATAATAATATACCCCTTGGAAAGGCCTCATGAAACGACCTTCGTTGTGTCACAGAGCACGGTCGGAAGCATTTACTATTTCCTTGTATCTTCTTAGTTACATTTATGCAGCTTACAACTAGGCCTATTCCAAATGTCCCAACCTTGTCTGTCTTTCTAGAAAGTGCTTAATTAATGTAAATATGTTTAAACTCCCTGCAATGCGCAATTTGTTTACAAACACACATTTATAAATAGACGTATTTTGATTGGTTTAAATCTTCCCAGCTGAGCTAACTGCTTACCTGTCAAATAAATACACAGTGTTGTTATCTGGCCATTCAACATGACAGCTGGAAGGCTGTAAACAAAATTGTTGCAGATTTTTGTTGCATTTCATAATGTCCAAAATCCGACCACACTCTCGAACGTCAGTAATGTTATGAGAGCAAAACTTGATCGTGATTTCCCGTACAAAATGTCCACATCTGTCAGCGAGGAACTTAGTCTTCAATCGGTTCGAGCTGTGAAGCTGTAAATGTATCTTCTGCCATAAGTTTGGGTGAAAGAGACAGCTTCTCCATCTCTTGCATACAGAAGATGCTCCGAGTTTATCATCATGCGAAAGGTACGAAAATATGTCGACAACTGTAACGCTTGGCAAGACGGCCCAGTTCGGGTCCGCTGCCATCTTTTTGCGACTTCACTACGTAGTTTGTAAGCAATATCACGTGACGGTCATGTGACTTTGTTGTGTACATGATGCATGTATTGAAGACTTGCTCAAGTCCTTCATTTTCGGTGGGAGGAAACAAGAAGCTCAGCTTTACAGACAGTAAGTAATGTTTTGTGTAATTTTGAGTTTGGAACAAAAAGGCCAATAACACTTATGGTACAGCAAGGAGAGGGCACTGATAGGAACAGTCCTTCGGTGGAAATTAAAGCATTTTTATTTGTTTAATAACATGCAGTTATGTCTATGACAGACGTTTTGGAATGACTCAAACGTATAATGCATAGTGAATGCAAGATTATTTTTTCTTTTTGTAAAAAATAACGAACCCTGTAACACAGTTCATTTAAATAATAATAATAATTATTATTATTCAGGTAAAATAGGCATACCATTACAAGATATCACAATTTAGAGGAAAACATACAATAAAGATCACAATGCAGCTTGTAAATAAAAAGAATATTTTGTATTAAGACTGAGAATAAGAATAGATATATCAATAATAAAAGGTTTCTTAATTCAATCCTTGACATATATCACAGTTTAAAAATCCAAAAAAAAAAGTATAATACACTGTAAAAAAGGCAGATATTACTATAAAATGAGACAGACTATTTTTTAGTGCATGAAGGTAGATATAAATAAGTCGCATAATAGGAGTGGTGTGTGCCATTTACCTAGGATTACCCATGAAAGCCACTTTATTATTTATAGTGGCAGACAGCTTCTTATAGTCTAGCAAACTATAAAATATTGTTACATAGTTATTTTCAAAGATATCAAAATACTAAAACAAACTAAATATACCGACAGATCTTTGCACTTCTGTGTATAGAAAGACATGAACAAAAAATGAAATTTGAAATGATTGTGCAATGCCGCAAGTCAAGCTTTCCAGGGGTTGGGGGAAAACATAGCTTTTTTGGACTGTTCCAACAATTTCATTTTTGCTTTGAAACTACTTCTATTGTAACCCATTAAGACTCCTAAATAGGAGAATGATTCAAGAACCTCTATCTCTTCATCACATATTGTAAAATGAAACTGTGTTCGACATTTTCTCTTTGAAAATATAACAATTTTGGCTTTGTTGATATTTACATCAAGCTTTCAGTTGTTACAATATAATTCAAAAGTATTAAGAGCTGATTGGAGTCCTTCCGCCGATTCAGACATGATAACAGTATCATCTGCATAGAGAATTATAAACAGTATATTCCAATATTTTTATCTAAAATTTCTATTGTTTGTAAACAATTAACGCTGTTTTCTTCAAGAAAATCTTTTAGATCATTTAGATAAATTGCAAATAGAAATGGCAATACCTTTTCCCCTTGTTTTACCCCGACGTTACAGTTGAACATTGCAGATGTATCATTTCCACTTTTAACACAGGATTTAGTATTTGCATATAAATTAAAAATGACTTTGAACATTTTCCCAGTTATTTTACTTTTCTTAACATTTTTCCATAGCCCAAGTCTCCAAACCGAAATTGCCTTTTTGATATCTATAAATGAACAAAACAACTTTTTTCCGAGTGAAAAATAAATAGAGGTTAAGGCATGTAGAATGAAAATATTGTCCGTGGTGGAGTGATTTTTCCTGAATCCAGCCTGAGCCCAAGATATAATTAGATGTATTTCATCAGCCATTTTATTTAATCGGCTATTAAGTATGGATGTAAACACTTTTCCAAGACATGAGACGAGACTTATTGCTTATTAACCCAGTGAGTGTACATAGTTCTTAGTTTTAGATTTAAACGTGATTTTTTCTTTTATCCTGTTTTAACTGGAGGCGCCATATTGTCTTGAGCGTATCAGGAAGAAGAGCACCTAATCGCCCATCAAAGGACACTTAAATATGTCCCGTTATCTAGATAAGGGTAATCAAAGGTGACTGCTCCTAACCTTACCGGTCACGTGCTACTAGTGACGTCATAGAGTTACAAATTATAGCTAGTGTGGAGAAGCTACATTTCTCCATATATATATATATATATGTCTCTGATTTCACATATATTTCTGGTTCCGTTTGCATGGAGAAAGAACAACCACATGATCCGATATGCATTTTTTAATATTATCTGTTGTTTTGGAGGCAGATATCATCTGTCACACATTAATAATGATGAGGATGTATTTATTATTATATTAATCAAGTCTGCCATCTTTGTACTATTGTAAATATATGCTTGTAATTTGCAGGGAAAGGGCTTTATATAAGTTTTATAACTTGTGCCCAATCCATTTGCTTGGCAATAAAATATGTTTAAACTAAACAAATCACAGGAAGATTCTAATATGACAGTCCGGGCGAAAAATGCAATAAGAATCACTATATAAATAATATTACTCGTGTTGAAAAGTAAGATTTTTTTAACACGAGTGGTATATATAGCGTTTGGAATGATGTAAGAGTCAGCTCTATCAGGATTGGACTAGATGATAAAATTGGTCGATCCATCGGCGCTTGTATCTGGTATTTCTAGCTTCAAAATCCACTAAGTACACACAATATACACAGCTATATATTGTGTGTACATCGCTAGATAAAAGCCTATGAATAGACCAATTTTGTTATTTAGATCAATCCTTAATTTGGACCAAATATGTAGATTTTATTTTATTTTATACAAACATATTGTTTTACCACGGAATTAGTCCGTGGTTTTACCAAACAACTTCGCCTTAGATGCATGGGCTGAAATCAGGTAACTTTGACGTTGTGTTTTTAATCATAGTCGCGTGCACTTACAAGTGTAGTTCAACTTGTTTGCAAATGGCAAATACGTAGAAGTTTGTCATCTCTTATATGTGTATTGAAATTACAGGAAAAAAGTGTGGACCGTTTTCTCGAACACTGTATTTGTCTGGCTTCGTTCAACAAGAGATCCCAGAGGGATCTTGGCGCCCATCTTTGAACCATCTTCATTAGTTCTTTGTCAGTTCGATCTTTTCTCTTCTTACCTCTAATCTGTTTGATCGAGTCATGTTAACAGTAAATGCACCTTGAGGTAACTTTTGATCTAAACTTAATACTGATGTGTATGAAAGACAACCTTCAAAGTGAGTTTGTCATTTCACATATTTACTAGTACAGTACTTAATGTGAAAGAAATATTATCGATCATTGCAAAATGAGAAAGATCTGTTTAGTTCTTCCTTTAGCCATTTTGTTTTTATGATCAGTCTCCAAATACAACATGCACAACGAGGGGTCAAGGGGAACCTACATATCAAATTTGAGAAAGATCCCTGAAGATATTCCTGAGAAATAGTACTAACAAACCTTCAATGTCAAAAATCGAAGATAGCTGTCGGTAGGCCATTTTGTTTAACTGATTAGTTTCAAAAGTAAACATGAACAATAAAGGATAGTGGGGAACCTGCATTGGCTGGCTCAAAATATATTTTTTGTGCGAGTAAAAAATTTGAAGCACTGGCCAAAATGACATATTGGTTGCCCAAATAAAGTTGGGAAGAAATATTTCCACAGCATTTAACACAATGCTTCAGCACATTTAAATTTCATATAACATGACAATGTTTGTAATATGTAAAACAGAATAAAACATATTTTTAATTCTTCAACCCTAGTTTAAACCTAAGAAATACACATAACTCGCACCTCAAAGAAGACACCATGGCTGTATTTTATTTAGAAAATCTGAAAAAAAATCATCACATTTTTTAAGTCACGGACAGTTTGATTCAAATCGAAGTAATGACAACTGAAATATGTACTGCCCCCCAGTTAATGTGGAAGGAACTGTAATTTCTTGTATTCATAAATTTTTCAACAGTCACCCAAACTATTGTTGTTGGGCCAGTGACTACCTCACTTTTGACAACTTTTGGTCGTCCGAGCAAAACTTTAATCGCAATTGGCGAGCGGTAGACCGTCCATTTCAGGCACTGCTGCACAGCTAAGGACCAAGGGGAAACTACATATAAAATTTGATAAAGATCCCTCTGTTACTTCTTGAGAAATACCGATATCAAACTTTCACTATCAAAATCCAAGATAGCTGCCTATCGGCCATGTTGTTTATCCCATCAGTCTCAAAAGTTGCCCTGCACATCTCAGGTCCAAGGAAAACCTACATATAAAATTTGAAAAAGATCCCTCTGTTACATTCACTATGAAAATCCAAGATGGTGGCCTATCGGCCATGTCGTTTATCCGATCAGTCTCAAAAGTTGCCCTGCACAGCTAAGGACCATGGGGAACGTATATATAACATTTGAGAAAGATCCCTTTAGTGCTTCTGGAGAAATAGCGATAACAAACTTTCACTATCAAAATCAAAGAAGGCTGACTGTCGGCCATGTTGTTTATTCGATCAGTCTCAAAAGTTGCCCTGCACAGCTAAGGACCAAGGGGAACCTGCATATAAAATTTGAGAAAGATCCCTCTGGTTCTTCTTGAGAAATACCGATAACAAGAATTGTTTAAGGACGGACGACGGACGCGGACGGACCAAGGACGCAGGGTGATTTGAATAGCCCACCATCAGATGATGGTGGGCTAAAAAGCTAGAAATTATATTGTGCAACATCTTTAGAAATAATTTAACATCTTCCCCATTCTCCACCTGACTGTAATTTGAAGTTCCTCAAACTTGAGCACAAACATTTTTTTCAGAAAGGAAATAGGATCCCAAATCTCCACTCATCGCTAATTAAAAAGTTCAAACTCGAACAAAATTACTCTGCTTATAGTGATATTCAAAACGAATTGGCCATAATAACACATTTTAATTACAATTAGGCTAAAATATACCTGTGAAAACACAGGTAACATACAGATAAACTCATTTGAAATGGACTGAAATCTTCTCAAAAACATCCTTTTACTCACGATTTCTAAAAAGTAGACAAATACGAAACAAGCCGGTCTACCACACTTCCTGTGTTAGTTGGAGGATCGGTCACGTTCACAGGTGAAACATTAAAAATAATGACTTTACCTGTTAATTCATCCATGTACATACATGTAGGTAAGATATATAGGCTCGTAAATATAAAGTGTCTGAAACTGTGCTTTACAACTGTCTGTCAGCTATATAAGTTACAATGGCGGATC